TAATGTGGTCTGGGATATATAGTAGTGCTTAGGGCTCCTCGAGAAAATTGTCATCTTTTAGCATTAATTTGGCTAGGGCTAACAGCAGCAGCAGACTCTTTGCAAAATATATAGAAGAACAGTTAGTATTTTCRTAAATCACTGAAACAACTGAAATTTACTTTCTAAAATGAAGTCTAGGGAAAACACACATTATTTTTGCCCTTAAGTCATGTATGGAGAGAAAAAGGAGTTCCTTTGCACAGGAAGTTATTTTAGTTGGCTTTCATGGTCCTKTGATATGAAATCTGAATTATATCACCTTTATATCACCTTGATAACAGAAAGTGCCATTGCATTACACATTATTTGTTATAATAACCATAAAGAATTTTAAATACCAGCAAGACATTTGCAAACATTTTAGACTTTTTTTTTTTTCAGAAGACATTATTCTTCAATTATTGCTTTGGTTGGAAAGAAATAGCCATTTTCGAACCCTTCAGAAGATCCACAAACAATTCAAAACAATTTGACCTTTTTATTGCAAAACATGCAGTGACCATTTACAGCTAAATTTAAACCATTTACACCAAAATAAGAGTTAAAATTCTTAGCAGGTAATGGCTGCTGGAACTTTAAGGCACAAGGGGAATAAAAAGTTAGGGATGAAGGCCCATCCTCCTGAGCTGAATATGCTGGTAATAAACACGCATTTGTTATCCAGGTGCACTTTCAGTTTGCTAAGAACTATGTAGGGCACAAAGGCACCAAGAAACAGAAAGTAAAGAACTCGGATGCACTGTACTCCCCAGCGATGGGCTGCATGGCGTAAGCATCCGTATGAAAAGGAGGAGATAGCAATGGCTGCAATTTCAGGCCTGTCTTGAAAATCCGAGGAAGAAGCACTCAGAATGATGCCTGGCAAATAACTCAGTCACGTTTACACTGATCAGTGTTACGTTATTTTGGATACAGCGATGCAGCTACTGCACRTTCAAAAGATTTAGCAAGTTGGCCTGCTCTGTAATACATTCCTCACGCTGTGCAGGGGATGTGACTAAATACTAAATAAAAAAGTATTTCCAAGATGTAGCCTCAGTAGTTTTGTAGTAGGCTTGGGTTAAATTGGGCTGATGCTCAGAGAAGACTGGATAACTTGGGTTTAGGTGGTTCAAAAGCCACAGGAACAGCTTTATCTGCGGAGCTAAACACCAGCCTGGGAGACAGGCAGATAAAAAGGGTCTAAAAATATTTAGAAAAAGGTAAAGTATAGGCCATAAAAAGGTTCATAACTAATGCGGCAAGAGGATAGCATGGTAAGAAGCGGAAAGAATAAATTAAAAGTATTTAGAGTTCTCAGATGGTATTCAAGTTGGCAATAGCTGATTAATTTATTTTAAAATACTCCAGTAATTAGCTAGATTAGTGCAGCCCATTAATGATCATCTGTGATAACTCACAGAGCCTGAAGAAGAGCCCAAGAGAACAGAAGGAAAACAGAAGGAATGCAAAAAGAAACAAGGGACTGTGTCACTCAACCTAAACCGGGAAAAATGCAATAATAATAATAAAGTATTTGTTAATACCTGTGGAAAAATAACTCAGCAAAATCCAACTAACAGCAATTTGTCAGGAACAAGCTATGCCACACCACACTAATCTCTAGTCCTTCCCCTGTGTGAAGGTTCCTCGTGGCTGCAGGAGCACCAGCTGCAGAGATCTTACTTGCTCCACAGCCTTCCGACACARCAACTGTGCAAGCACCTCACAGATGAATTAGTGAGCACCAATTCCTACCTGTCACAAGGAGGATGACAGCTGTAAAYCATAACCTCAAAAAGCCGCTGCCAGCGGCTCACCGGGACGCTGGGATGATACTCAAGGGGAGTCTGTCCAGTCAAACCTAGTCATTAACAACTCATGTGATGGAGGAAAAGAGGACATCTGCATAGGACCATACTTGGATGAGCCACAAATGGTTTAGTAGACAAGAATAAAATGTTGCTCTTGGTAAATTTGGTCGGAGATCCATTAACAACAGGTATGGACACACCAAATATGAAGACAAACACACCTGGAGATGAGCAGGCTGCGCAGTAGCAGTACAGAAACGACCCTGAGCATTTGCAAACCACAGGTTGAATCCAAGTGAATGTGATGCACTCGCAAAAGGCAAATGTAATTCTGGCACATATTAATGCAACTAATATATGAAAGTCCCATGAGCTAATAGCTTTATCTACTGTGCACTAGCCTCAGCCAGCACTGTGGGCTGCATTTTGGGCAATACAATTTAAGAGTCCACACTGGAGTTGATCCAGAGGCGAGCACAAAAAATCCTAGATGAGAAGACACAATCTGCATAAAACCGATGGAATTAACTGCACATACTTACAAGAACAAAAGGGTAAGACAGCAATGCTCATTTAAGGCTACTACTATTCATCATGTATTTTGCCAGTGAGCACAGTAATTAACTCAACTCACAAGGATTTTTTTGCTTTGGTCACTTCCCTGCTGTAAGGTTCAACACTGGCACGTGTGGAGTCATGGAATCCCTTTCGTGGGAAGCCATTAACTAGTGAGAGCCATTAACTAGTCCTGTGAGCAAAGGGGACTAGTCTGGGAGCAAAGTGAGGGGCTAGGTAACTCCTTGGGATTTTCTATAGGCTTTCCTTCCTTGAAAGATCTCTAACATAGAGTAACATCTCACATAATGTTTGATTTTTAACAGCCAAAAGGAGAGTAGTTTGGTATTGGCTGCACCATCAGCACTTAACTAGAGAACTTAGCTTTAAACGTTATATGCACAGTCATTTTCAGATAAAGTTGCATAGTCCAACAGACTCATGCTGGATAACAATGTTGGAATGGATACAAATCCGTCCTTTCCCAGAAAGCTCATAACAAAGAGTTTCAAAACAATCATCCAACCTACTCTTTTACTGAAAGCTACCTAAATAATGCAACTCCTTCAGGAAATCTCCAGCGTATCTTATCTACACCAAAAGCCATAAAACAAGAACTATACATTAAGTATTTCCAAATAAAGTACTAATAGACATAAAGTGCAATAAAGTACTGATACACATACAGAACTTTATTTTCTGTGCATTTACGTTACCTTTCTGGACACTGACAACTTGAGTAACCTCTTTGATGAGATGCTACGGAAGACAGAAAATCATAAACTGAACAAGTACAAAGTTAAGTTTCAGAAGTGAATTCAAATTCCACTGCAAAACCTTTGAGGTGCTAAATAGGCAAATTAAGTTACATTTAGCAGAATGCAGTCAAATAGATAAAAACACAGGCTGATCTTTACCTGCTTTGTGAACTCTGCAAGACCAATCCACTTCAGTGGTCAAATTGCAGGAAGACGAAGATTTCAACAAAACCTAACGCTCTCCAACTTGTTTTTGGGAAAATGGTGAACAAAAGGCAGACATCAATCCTACGAGTGTCCGGTGATAAAAGCAAAAAAAAATCTACTAAGTCAACGTTATGAAGATACAAAACAGTTCTGTGCAGTTTACCAAAACTTGACAGATTCCACCACCAGTCTGTGGTTTGCAAACAGCCCTGGCCATTAGCTTTAGTTGAGCTGAAGTGTTTTCAGCCTAACAGCGAGGAACCAAAAGGGAGAGTCTCCAGGGGCTGGTTGAGAGCGCTGCGTAAGGCCAAGCATTTCCTTAAGGCTACATAGAAACACTCTTTCACTCCCCTTTCAGGTTCTCCACACAGCATTTTGACAGCAAAACCCAGTATTTCTTAGATATGGGCAAGTTTCTGTACTTTTACTTTACCTGGCAAGTCTGCATTAAGACAAATTGTTAAGCTGCTCTTACTGATTATTCCGTAGTCACCGAGGTGACCTCATTGTGATTAAACAGACTAACTTTTTCTAGGATTGGAGGTGAATTTTCTTCCCAAAAGCTTGTAAATCCTGCTCTTATTTTTAGATGGCATTTAAAAAGAACCCCGGAAAAGCCAAAGTCACATTTTAAAATTGTACTCCACAATCTCCATCGCAGCTGACAACCACACTGACAATAATATCAGAATACTTAACCTAGAAGCTGTCCCTGCACAAAGATAAATCTTGCTCAGGAAACCACAGGAATTTTTCCACACCTATTTTTCTTCCTTTTAGACAGCTTCAAGCTCCAAAACTGCTCATAAAATGCATTTTAGAAGTGAAATAATACTTGTTTTTAAGAGCAGGCATGAAATATCACATTTTCCATTTTAGTTTTTTAAATTCTCTTTAATCAGGCACATTACAATGCACAACTGTGTCTTTAGCCAGATAACAAGGTGCCATCCTTCAGATCAGGACAAGATGATAGGGAACTCCGAGACCTTCCTCTGAACTTGGAGGWACAAGGAGTACTGTAAATACTCTAACTGATGACAACTCCCCCACGTAGGACAGCATTCCCACTATACTTATAAAGCCTTCAAAACAATTCAGTCAGATGTTGAATGTGTTACTGTATYTTCAGTTACAACCACTTCAACTACAGGTCTTACTGAATTGGAGATCACCCTTGACTTCTACTACATAAAAAAAAATCATTTCATATGGTATTCTTTGCACTGAGCATCATACAGTTTTGAAAATAGAACAATTTAACATAATTCATCCATCCTGCAAGACATAGAGCTTTCCAGCTCTTAAGTGCTYATTTTGAGAAGTTGTTTAGGAAACAAAATATGCTGCACAATCCAAACTGAAGGAACATAAACTTCACCTTAGGGTCAAGCTATAGGGAAGCACCCCAAACATCTTCCAAAGTAAAAGCAGATTATCAAATACCAGTTAAGTGCAAGAGGTTCCTTAATCTGTCTGCACTGGGCATATTTTTAGACAAACTGCAGCACTGGAACATTTAAAAACTCCTCCCCCATCCAGCACAAAGGTTGAGAGCAGATTTCTTGCCTCTTGGGAGCCAGTCTGTCAGGAAATGCTTATTGAAAACATTAAATAAAAAAATAAATGAAGGGTTACATTCTGATGTCAGGTGTACAAGTGCAGTAGTGGAATACTCCCAGAGGAAAACAAACATATCTATAAAGTTATCACAGGTTATCCCAGAGYGACTATAATTCAGAGAAACTTCATGTCAATGTGAGTATTTTCAGAGAGACTTGTCACAGTAAGGAGGACAAGGAGCTAGTCTCACAGAATAGTTCATTAAAGAGCAAACAAGTGGAGAAAGGCTTTGACTTGCTGTAATAAAATACCAAGTGCATCCTTTTAAGTGAAAGAGTCTTGGAGACAATGGTCTAGGATTTCAGGAAGCCATTGGAAGGTCAGAGAGAGAATCTCACCATGAAGCAAGGGTTACTTGGGTTGCCAAAGTTATTTCACATCAGTTGTAACCACAATAATCACTGCTATTTTAGTGCTGTTTCTKACCGCAACTTCAAAATTTAAGCTGTTAAACAAGCCCACCCCAGATGTGGAGGGGAGACCTTCTAGCACAATTCTGCTGTTTTCTGTCACTTCATGCTGTGCATCTGGGATCAGAACAGTGCCCAGACACAAAGGTTAATTACGCTGAGCTTGTCAAATGCTCTTGGCCACAGTGCCATTATCCAGCTTCTCCTTGACAATGAAACCTTAATCACAGCTKATTTCTTAAAACTAACAGTATGATTTCAGCTACTTTGACTCTCTTCCAGTAGGCTTATTTTAAGCTGGCTGTGAAGCAGGGGTATTAATGGCTGGCTGCTTTACATATTTCTTGGAGAGCTGTTACTGAAATAACTAAACTTGTTTAAGGGACAACCTGTGTCGTGGACAGCTCAAATATCTTTAAAAAAACCTTTTAAATCAGTATTATAACTAAGAGGAGAGTTACTTTAACCTGATATGCCAGTGGTGAGCATTGCTTGAGCCCCTGTGCCCAAAGCATGCGACTCTACCACATTTCTGCTTCCTTAGCCATGAGGATCACCTGCCCAACAAGAGCCTCTCCAGGCACGACTCCAAGGAAGGGGCTCCCTTGTGCCACGGGAATCCCGTTCTGCGAAGCCTGTAGYCCTAGACTCACCCACGCTGAACAGCAGCATGAGGAAGGAGCCTCCCCAGCCTAACGCAGCCGCTAAGTTTACTCTTGAGCCAAGGTCTGAGCACTGGTGCCTGAGCTCAAGCCCAGAGCACACCAAACAATAAAGCTGAGCAGCTTCCCTCTTCGCCTGAGATTAATTCACTGTCATGTACATTAACTTTCAGTGGAATGATACTGCTMACGTTCTGGCAGGAAGGGGAAGATTCCACTTGGTCTCTGTTTTGTTTGGGATCTTATAAGGCAGATAATGCAGAAAGTTGAAACAGAACTTCTACAAGCATTTCATCTGTGATACTGTAAAATCAAAGTACTACTTTATTAAATGAGTTATTTTACACAATATGAACATCAATATAATTACAATTGTAAAAAATTTTTTTATAATAAGTATGGACTGATTTTTCAGGATTTCCAAGTAGGGCACAACTGTACATTTACACAGAATTGTCTTTGCATGAAGCCCAAGAGGGAACAGCATAAAAATATGAATGTTTCTGTAGCCCCTTCATTTTTGCTGATCAACAGTTTTAGAAAAGCAGCTGCAGGTTTGTTATGTAAGATCTGACAGTAGAAGAGTCAATAGGTGCCAAGACTTCACCTATAAAAAAAACAAGAATAACTCAGTTAAGCTGAACTCTTTCACAATGGCATTTTCCTTTGAGTGAATGAAATACCATACTAGTACTTTTTACCTTATTTCAGCCTTTTACATTGTAACTTCTTTTTCAGTTACAGCCTAACAACTGGCTATTCAGAAACTCTCTAGAGGTTAATACAGAGGTTATATTTTATGTTTGGATGCAGAAATATCTTCTTCCATAACTTTAGGAAGAAAAAAGCCCCATCACTGCACATGCTAAACAGCTATTAAGCGTTTTGCAGCAATGGGCAGACTRTGTTTGCTACAAATACTTTGTTCAAGGCAAAAACAAGTAATATCTCTTTATAACCAAGAACAACCATTTCAAATAACCTTCATTCTCTTTAAGACAGCATCTTTGCACAGAGAAATGCCACAGTCCTTTCACTTAAGTAAGCGTTAGCTCTCTTCTCATGCTTAACAGTTCAGGGTGTAATTTTAAACTACAGCTAATTTTCATATTAAAGAAAAAGCAGCAAGTTCCAATACTTCGCTAGCTGGAGATAAAAAGCAGTATATAATACAACTTTCTCAGAATATTATTTAGAAATTAATGTAATGACCTGTRGACAACTTTACGCCTGAACATCAGCCAGTTCTGGAGGGAGTGGAGTCTTAGGATGCTTGCTTTCAAAGTGCTGTTTGAAGGTCTTGGGGTCCGGCATTTGTGTCTGATTAAAGAGATATTCAACTTTATGCACAGCACAAGACTTAAATGATATTACAAAAACTTTCTCCCAATACATTTTAATTTGCTTTACCAAGAAAAAAAAAATCTCAATGAACAGAATCATATCTCTACTGATAGAAGCACTACTTTAGCTGTAGATTAAGAATATTTGATCTCAGAATCAGAGAGTTACTTCTAAGCAATAGCATCACCCTCTTGACACATTTGTCATCAGTATTTTCTTACAAGAAACCGTCCTGCAGGTCTTAAGTCTTCCACCAAAACAGCATGTGAAGTATGTGCTGCTTTACCACCTTCCTTTTTAATACAAAAGGTGTTTATCCTTTTTGGAATCAGATCTTTATGAAAGGTGTTTACTCTGCTAATGGAAAGGCTCAGGAGTTGTGTGGCACAGGCTGATCCTCTACATGGCACAAACCACCCCCGACCATGGTCACTAGACTCCTGCAGGCATTAAGTGCCCATTTCACAGAAGGAGCAGCTGGTTACAAGGAGTTAGGTGGGCAGTCCTTAATTTGGAAACTTACTATAGATATTAAGAGTGACAAATCCATTCTATAGAACTGGCTATTTGGGTGAAAAACACAAGTTTATCCTTCAGGTCCCAAACTGGCACATTCGGGAAATAAGCCAGAAGGAGACCACAGTCTCCTTAGCGTTCGCTTGTCAAGTCATTCACTCTAGTGAAAGTTACTGCACATCCCACCTGGATTAAAGCTTTGGGCATCATGCAGCAACTCCTTCCCCTCTCCACTGGGGGTTATAACCAGGGGTGCCAGGGCAGGCAGTTCCAGCACAGAGGAACATCGCTGTGTGCGCATTGTGCGGGAAGCCATGGATCCCAAGCTCTGCAGGACACAGTGACACCCAYGCGGGCCCTGCCACCCACCAGGCAGGACAAGGAGCTGCGCAGAACAGAGCCGCGCGTGTCCGCATGGACTCTTAGAGTTATCAACTCAACTGAGTGAACGACCTGCAAACGAGTCACAACTTCCTATTAGGAGCACAACAGAGAGGAATGCCTAGAGCTAGCCACTCAGAAAGGTTTTTGCTGCCATTATACCAKCTTCTAAAAAGTTCTGCCATAAGCTGCAAGAAAGCCCTGCCCACATGGATGCTTCGCCTTCAGCGCCTCTTACCCTACAGACAGTGCAGGTATATATCAAGGCAGCCTTGGCTGCAGCCTTCTGATCATGTCCTTGCTTCTTTTTTTGCTCAGCTTGTTTTTTGGCATTTTTCTGCTGCGACTGAATCTTCTGCTGTCCACGAGCCATATCTACAAACAAAAAGAAGACATTTAGTCTATGTATGTGAGAAACTACTGCTGCCAGCCGGCTCAGAAGCCACAGCCACGGACAGAAGCAGTCAAGTGCTCTTCCTGTTAGGCCTACGACTCCCATAACTCATATAAAACAGGCATCTGCTCAAGCTCTTTTCATGAGGACTCTCCAGTTTTAGCATCTCTCTAAGTGCATTCACTAAAGTCACTTAATCCATTTGAAGGTTTCCGCTTCTGCAAAGCTTCAAGCTCTACCTTTGAAACATGTTTTTAGCAAATAAAACTTTACTTGATCTCTATTTCTGTGTTTTGYTTTGTGTTTCAACTTAAGACTCAACTATTACTTGTGGAAAGCAAGCCAGCTTCCAAGGGAGACAAAGCAGGGCATTTTTGGTGTACCTGCTTGTGAACTGCCGTGGGATCAGCAACAGCAAGAACAACATGACCACGTTCTTTATTCAAGGCCATCCTCTGATTTCCAGCTGACCTTCCATGCATTTACATGCATAGTCTTTTGAAATAAGGGAGTACAGCTGCCCCTGTCAGTTGCCCTACAACAGTAGTTCTGTACAAAACAGAAGCATGGAGGAGTCAGGCCCTGCTGCCACCTGCCATTAGAAGGCCCAGCATGAAAAGGAAGAAATTAGGTGCTAATCTGCATTTCAGGGAGCAGCAAAAACGACGTATTTTACAAGGGTACCTGCATGCAGCCTACCAGGCCATCCAGTCCAACCCGCCTGCCACCCCCAGAGCAGATGCCAGGCAGGATTCAGGAGCTCCAAGAAAGCAGACTCCAAAGGGTGATTACACAACCCGGCTGCCCACTTGCAGCTACCATCTTTCTTACAGCCCCTCGCATCCCACGCATTATCCAGCTGTGCGACTCTCCTGGAAGTGCTGGATTCCTGCATTCCAGCTAATAACTGTTGCTTCAGGATGATGAGTAAAGTCTAATGAGGACAGGAAGTTGCCTTGTTGGTTAATGCCCCTGTATGAACCTGCAGTTCAGCAGCGTTTCATGAAAACGCACTGCACGGATGCAGCAGCTCTGCCACACCGTCCTTCCCACGGGAAGGGAGTTTTCCATGGCAAGGCGAACGGCCTATCTAGTCAAYGGCCGAGCTCCAGGGAATACCTACAAAAGGGGCTCTTAAACACCACAGAAGCAAAGTTTTCATGGGATGCCAACTGTGCCTGGCAATGCCTCAGCATCGCAGCACTCTCCACCTCATCAAGGGGAGGTCCGACCCAAAAGGGCCCTCTCGGACCAAAAGGCACCTCTTGGGCCAAGCAAGGCCACTTTTCTCACCGTACATAGCCACGCCACCCAGCTCTGCACAAACATCATGCTACATCTTGTGTTTTCCCTCCTCTTCTCCCTGTCAGTTTCTCTAGACAAAAACYCACCAGTTCACATACATCTATAGCTATTTAATATGACAGGCYGCAGAATTAGCTTTGTTGCCTTCAAGGTTAACAACCATCCGGAAATACAAAGTTTCTAGCGCTCAGGAGCTTCCGTGGGACACAGTATCAAGTGTCAGCAGCCCAAAATACCAGCTTGGGTTTCACTGTCAATGCTCCCAGCGGCCGCTGCCCCTGCTGCGCAACGTCCAGGGCCTCACAAGAGCCCTGCACCTCCAGTGAAAAAGCAAATTAATCAGCTGCTCGCAACAGTTACATGGATTTCAGTTCTATTTTATCACATCACAGCACATCTCCAAGAGTGAAAGAACTCCAGATGGAAATGATGGATTCACATACAGTTAGCAAGAAATGCGACAATAAAGGAACACTCATCCCTGTGTTTCGGTGCCTTGAAAGGGGCTCGTTAACTACCACGCTGCAGAAGTTCAGTCACGCCGGGCTCACACGCGCTCGGCTCAGGCACAAAGAAGGAGACCCCAACAAAAACATCTGCTCCAGGAGCATGAACCCGCTCGCGACGGCCGAGGTTAGGGCGGGCTCAGGCCGCGCTCAACGGCGGGCTAAACCCGCCCCAGGGGAACGGGCAACGCGGCGGAGCAGAGCGGGGAGGCGGCCGGGGGCTGCGCGGGCCCCGCACAGGCCGCGGCCGCCGCTTC